ATAAATGAAACAGAAGCGCGCTTACCTTGGACCTCTTGGAAAGAAAGATGAGGAATTTCTCGTACTGTTCAATGGCGAAGATGAGATTTGGGATTGGCTTGGTTTCCCGAAGAACTCTGGCCTGCAGGGCAAAGAAGGGGAGCCTTAAACCCAGGGCTTTCTGAGGTTGTCCCCTAAGGCTGTCAGAACTGCTCACAGCTTTGGGAGAAAGCGGGGCCACCCTCCAAACACACACATTTTCCTTAGGTCCCAGTCACCTAAGGTTCCTGGCGGCTCAATCTCGTCATTTCACTGTGAGTCTGAGGGAGCCGCCTCCCTGCGCCCAGAGCAGCCCCGTCCACAGCCAGGGATGGGGGAGCACCTTCGGCCCCCACTCACCTTTCCTCAGCCCCTCCCCACGCGCACCCTAAGCTATTTCTATTTTTAAAGAGCGAGCTTCACGATTTTCTGGTCCTTCCTGAATACAGCGTATGTTTTTTGGTTCAGGGGAAGGAGATGTTCCACCTGAACATCACATCCGTTCACCGAGCAGCAGCCACACGCACTTTCCCAGCTTCACTGAGAATAACTCATGCCCCGTACAACTCACCCCTATATTCAGTGTCACTCGTGCAACCATCACCACTTAGGAACGCTGGAACATCTTCGTGGCCGCAAAGCCTGCACCCGTCTTAGCAGGCACCCCCAAGCTCTAGTAGCCACCAACCCACTTCCTGTCGCTCGGGGTTTGCCCGGTCTCCATTCCCACGGCGCTTCTCCCACCAGCAGCCACTGGGGAGCGCAGCCACATCTTACCATGGCCACGGCAACGGCGGCTCCGTTCCTTTTCTTCCCTCCTGGGCACTGGGGGCTCCTGCTCCTCTTGTTCTAGAGAAATCGAAACCAGTCTTACTCCTGAGTGGCAGTTTTCTGGGCAGGTGGTTACAACGGGCACGGGGACTCCCGAGGGGACCGAGTCTGGGCAAGGAGACTATCCCGCAGCGGGTGTGGAAAGTGGGAAGCGTCTGTGACCCTCACACTGTCTACTGGGAGGTTTGCGACCCTGCTCTTGGGCCAGCACATGGAGGTGAGGGCAGGGCCAACCGTCACTGTACCAGCCAGCCAAGGGCCGGTGAGGCACAAAGGACAGTTCAAGTGGGGATGTGGAGGTGGCAGCAGGAGCGGTATTTCAGCAGGTAGTGGGCTGAAAGGATTCCCCAAAGGAGGGGACGCTGGGGAGGCTGTTCCGGGCCTGCAGGCTTCCCACCCAGGGGCAATTGCCCGATGTGCCTTGGAAACCATGTGGTCACAGGCCAGAGAAGGGGTTAAGAGAATGAGTCACCTACCTGTACATAAGAAATGAAGGAATAGCACACGGGGGTAAGATGAGAGCCGGACAGCTTCACCTGCAGCCAGTGAGAAGGAAACCGAGGTGACCATGAGAGTAAGGGAGCCTCCCCGCCTCCCCGCGCCCAAGAAAGGCATCCTCAACTCACCAGCTTTTCCATGATTTTGGGAATTCCTCTGGAGCTCCGACACACCTGGATGTACTAACAGAAGATTCTGTGGTTTAGAGCTCATTCTATACAAATGTCCCCTGGAACTAAAGGAATGGAGTGCGTGGCACAGGGCTCTGACTGGCGGACGGGAGGAGCTACTACACACACCGGCCCCTGGACACAGGCCTCCGTCCCCTCCTCAGCAACTAAGCTCCACCGACAACAGGCACCTATTCAGCTCATTGCTCTAAAAACCCTTCAGGACGATAATCCCTCCGTCTAGAAAACCAGGTCTGCTTTTTCTTTTGGAAACACCCATGAAGAGAAGGGGCTCAGTGCTCCCACTGCAGAAGCTCGGTGGCCACACCGTGTAGCCAGAGCCAGGCATCCTCAGCAGCTGCACTGCTGTTTGGGGGCGCTGTGCAGTCTACAGTCTTTCTGGGGTGGTCTACGCCTCAGTACTTAGTACAAATTGCTGCCCTCTGAATGTCTGCTCAGCACCAAAATGTCCAAGTACAAGAAAAGAGTTTATTGTCATCAGATACTAAGAAGCATGAACCTAAACTCGGCGCAGAGTATGCCTTGTATTTTTAAAAAAATAAACTTCCTCCCCACCCTAGCGCCTGACCTGTGAGGCACTGAACACCTACATTAAAGGAAGGGAGATGAAGGAACCCCTTTCAGTGCCCAGACCGGTCAAAAGATGTCCTTTCTGTGTGCAACAGGGAACGAGACTGAATCCTACAGCTAGAGTCTAGATTCCGTCTCAGAAGACGTTGGAAGCGACATCCACTCTCAATCAGGGCCACATACTCGTGCCAGGGAAAGAGGGCTCTAAGGGCAGGCGACAAAGCATCAGTCGGCTGTTACTTCCAGGCCCGAGGAGACGCCTGCCGCCTACTGGCCAAACCAGGCCTTGGCCCAGTCCCCTGACTGGCTGGGAGCAGGCGTGGGATCCTGGCCATCGCCCAGACGCTCAGATACTCACGTATTTGACAAGCGCGGTGAGGATGACGTACATCTTGCAGAGGTCCCGGAGCAAGGTGTCCACACAGCCGCCCGAGGGCAGGGCGGTCTGCACCAGCTCGTGGAAGCAGGTGAGCAGAGTCCCCAGCTGCATGACAATGGCCTTCTCCATGGGGCGGGGCGGCAGGGCTGCCTGAGAAGACGCCTCTTCTGAGGGGAGAGGAGAGTGGCACGTTCAACCCACTGGCCTTACTTCCCAGTTTAAGTGAAGGAGACTTAGAAACCGACACCGTTAGCCAGCAAGTCTGCAGGGACACTGGGCATGCGACTCGCCACGCAGCGGTGACGGGACAACCGCGGTCAGACACGGAGACCTGGTTCAAAGAGATGAGCTCCTGCGCCGGCCCAGTCTGGATGCTGGATGACCTGGCTCTCCCCACAATTCCCGGAACCCCACCTTGACCTCCTCTTACCCGATGTGGCTTCTTGGCTCACTTGTCCCTTGAGCTTGGTGATTAGCCAGTCCACTTCCTCCAGGACCTTCTCAGCCTGGCTCAGAACCAGCAGCTGGGAAAGGAAAGGAGCCTGCGGTGGCCGTGGCTCACTGCACTCGGCAGCCGGTGGGACAGACCAGCCATGGCCACAGTGGTGGGTCACAGGCCACAGGACGTCAGCCACTGTGATTTGCCTCCCCTTGGAATAAAACGTCAAGAACGACCGGCTGTTTCCCATGGCTCCGGATTAAGACTTACACAGACAGTAGGGGCCGCAGTCTTCAAATTCACCATCGCAAAGTGGTTTGTTTTCTCCACTTCAACATCCTGGGGCGCGAGAGGGAGGTAAGCGGCGATGGCAGCAGGCGGCGCCAACCTCCGCCCGCTCGGGGACCTTGCTGAAGGTCTGCCACAGTACCTCGTCTATGTCTCCAAGGAGCCCGTGAATATCCTGGGACAGGTCACGCAGCAGGGCCACCGGGCTCTTGCACAAAACGTGGAGGCTGAAGAGCAAGTTCATCAGGCCCCTGCAGAACGAAGCATCCTCTGGGGCGGGAAGGAAAGAAAATTAGAAGCTCAGTGATAACCAGTCAGTGCCTCTGGGGAGGGGATGCCCGGCCAGAACACGCAGCCACCCATGTCCCCGGCACCACACCCCGGTGCTGCCCACGCCGACCAAGCAGCTTGCCCACAAACGTGCCCGAAGGAGGGAGACGTGTCTACCAGTCAGCCTGACCACTGCGTGACCTGGAAACCTCTGCCCTGATCGCCCCACCGAGGAAACTGCCACTATGACCTCTAATCTCATGTCTAGTTTTATCTGATTTTGACCCTGATCTACATGGACTCAAACAGCAAGTACTCTTCCGTGGGGCTTGTTTTGCTAGACACTGCGTGTGTGAGATTCCCCCAAGCTGTGCGCCAGCGGAGCCTGGTCACTCTCCCCGCCTGAGCTACTCCACTTGGACACATCACTACTCCACGCATCCTGCTGCTCACGGGTATTTGGGTTGTTCTGCTTATTAAAATAGTGCTGTGAGAATTTTTCCACCTGTTTGTTGGGAGTGGACTTGCTGGGTCACAGCACATGTTTCATTCTGGTGGTCAGACAGTCCAAACAGCGCTCCAGGGTGGACATGCCAGCTCGCCCCCCGCCCGGTGGTGAGAGGTCCCTCTGCTCTACTCCTCCTGACACTTGCTACCGCGTCTCTTTCTCATTTTGGCTCTTCTGCTGAATGAGTGAATGCTGTCCCGTGACGGTGATTTTAAATAAAGCCTGAAAGGGAACGTGGGAGGACACTCACCCCGACTGTGTTCCTTGCAGATCTTGGATGTCCAGGTCAGCATCTGCACAAACTGCAGACATTTGGACATTACAGACACGTGACGAGACGCAGCTACAGGAGCCCTAGGCCTTCCCACACCTAACCACCCGCCAAAACATGCACCTGGATCTAAAGTAACACCTACTGAGAACAGCAGGAGAACCAGTCCAAAACTATGAGGATTACTGGTACTTCCCATGTATTATAGCGAACAGCTTAATTCCCGAAGTCTACACCCACATTAAGGGCCAAAAGTCCTGGGGTCCGGGTCTGGGTCCTGCCCCTGAGCTCCCCCTACCCGACGACCACGTCTGGGCTGCAGCTCCTTTGTCCCTCCCAAGCCCCACGGCCTTGAGGCCAAACAGGTGGGCGACAGGAGAGGAGAGGAGGGAGACCATTCACTGAAAATCTCTGGTTTTCAAATCATGGGACTTTATTACCTGCTCAAAATTCAATTTAAAAAATAAAAGACTACCTGAAATTATGGGGGCAAGTGATGCATTTTAAAATAAAACTTTCCTCTGAATATGAGCCTTTCCAAATCCATTTATTTTCCCTCAAACGTCCCCCTGGCCTAATTCCCTGCGACTGCATTTCCTCCCTAGTCTTCTGCTCTTTGCGGCAACACTGTGGGATGAAAGAATGACGCTGAGAGTAAGTGGGGGTGAGCTGTTCGGCTCCAGGATGAAGCAAGCAGCTAGCAGAAGGGATGTGTGCTGGGAGGGGCCGAGCAGGGGCGCCCATACCTGTGGGGAGGAGGGCTCCAGCAGCCGGGACAAGCTGGAGAGGACACTGACAAGGAGCAGGGCTTCTCTGCTGCTGAAGTCTTCCTCCGGGCTGCTGAGCAAGTTCAACAAGGCCCTCTGGGAAAGGGAGGCGCAGACGCATTAGCAGACGTGCCCCACAGGGAAAGACACGCAGCCAGAGGTCCCTGAGGCTGGGGCGAGACGGACTCAAAGCTGCCAAAATCCCACGAGGACGAAGTCTAAAAATAAACTCGACCGAACAGCTACTTTCCTACCCTGTTTTCGACCATCAGTGTCTGTGTCTCTTAGAAACGGCAGGAGACCCCCCCCCCGCACACATGAGGAAGGACTGTGCCCAATCTTGGGGTGTACAGCCCATCCACAACCTCGGGTTTAGACCCCCACCCCCCAGCATTCCCTATACACCTTCCGTTTGCCTCTCCTCTGTCTCTCCCCACCTGCCTCACGCTGTATTTTGTCTGTCTCTTCCCCACTACGCTGTCAGTGCCACGAGGTGGGGACTTTGTCTCGTTTCCTGCTACACCTCCAGCACCTGAACAGTCCCTGCCACAGAACAGGAACTTTATAAAATTATCCTGATATTGTGACAACTAATCTAATGGTTGGAAACTAACAGGCTTCACTGTCCAGCCTTTATACAACCTGACAAACCCAAGTTATACCAGGGACACAAGGAAAAGTTCCCCGTCTTCACAGGCTCCGGGTCATCTCGGTGTCAACTCAAACAGTGATTCCTGGGGGCAGGGACTGCGGCCGGGTGGGGTGGCTTCACACGCCAGCGCAGCGTCCCTTCCGACACCCTCTCCTCCCCTCCCCTCCCCTCCCCTAAGAGCTATGTCCTCTTGTTGGGACGATGACCCAGATAGAGTCCTGTCCTACTTGCCCACTGGGCTCGTCTCACCAGCTGGCCCTGCTCACAGTCCCCCTGCGAGGACCCTGGGGCCAGTCCCACAGCGTCCGAGGCTCCTCACCTGGAACTGCCGGACCTGGAACGCTGCTCTCTGGGTGACAGTGACCTCCACCTCCTCTCCCTCGGTGTCTGGGGCATCTAGGGAAGGAAAGAACACCATCATCTTTGAAACGGACTGTGCTTTTTTAGCATTTTAAGAGCTAAAATTTTAGAAAGCCGAAAGTCTAGAGAGAGATTTAAACATATCCCTGACATCCTGCAATTCCTTCTTGCTACGCTCCACTGTCCAGTCCTACTTGTGGCTTTAAGTGTAATCCAGCAAAGGCCCATCCTGAACCCACTAGATGTCACCTCCCAGCAACGTTCGGACTGTCCTCAGGTGACTCCTGACAGGTGAATGAACAGAACTGAGAGGGCGGGTCAAGCCCACGGAGCAGCAGGGAGGTGCGCACCCAGCGCGCGGAGGAACAGGGGCAGCCGGGGCTGGAAGAACTGCTGCACGGCCACGAAGATCTTCTGCAGCCCCTCCAAGCACAGCAGCGAGATACTCTTCCCCTTTTCTTTCTTTCCCGACTCCTCCACGGAGGTGGGGATGGACGTGTACCTCCAGAGAAAGACCCTGAGAGGGGAAGGGAGGCATTTCTAAAGTCAGCTCCCCTGAGGTGCAGTGTGCGCCCAGTAAAGCCCCACCCTGCAGACGCACGGCCCTGCGAGTTCTACCAGACGTAGGAAGTGCGTATCACGCCCGCGACCAAGGTTTTTCCAGCTCCCCAAAACTCCTTTAATGCTCCTCTGTAGTCAACTCTCTCCCACCGATTTTCCAAGCAACCACTGACCTGATTCCTGTCCCTATGGTTTTACCATTTACAGAATATCAGATAAAAATGGCGCCACTCAGCAGGCAGCCTCCCGAGCCTGGCTTTAAGCGCGTGCTTTAGAGATTCACCTACTCCACCGACGCTGCTACGCCTGTCGGCGGTGGCTTGTCCCACGTCACTGGGCAGTTTTCCGCTGTATGGATGCACCACAGCCTGACTTTTCACCAATCTACCCATCCACCTGTTGTTGGAGTATCTGGTGGGCATTCGGGTTGTTTCCGAATTTTGCCATTACAGATACGGCTGCTATATGCAAATCCACGGCAAGTTAATATTCTGTATGTGACACGAGGGACGGAAGAAGGGTCGCTTTTTGCACACGGATGCCCAATTGTTTGAAAATCTTTTGAAAAAGAGACTTTCCTTTCTCTAGTAAATTACCTCGGCACCTTTGCCAAATCAAATAACCCCATCTGTGTGTCTTCCTGAGCTGTCCATTCTGTTCCACTCATCCTGCCAACACCACACTGTCTTAAACACAGCAGCTTTTTATGTACAACCTGAAATCGGGGAGCGTGAGTGTGCTTGGTTCTTTTGCTCCAAACCTGTGTTAGTTGTTGTGACTGTTCCTCTCCTGGAGCCCACAGCAAGCGGGCAGGTTCCTGAGGGCGAGGTGACTCACCGAGTTATGTCACACAGGTTCTGAAAGATCTTGTCTGGGTTCTGGCCGTCGGGGCCGCTCACATGCCCCATTTCCTTCAGCTGCTGCACCTTCCGCAGGGCCACGCTCACTGCGTAGCGCATGAACTCGCCGCTGGACCTCAGCACAGACAGGCTCTCCTCGTGGCTTTGGGTACTGTCCCTAGACAGAGAGAAAGGGGGGGAGAGAGGGAGGTTCCCTACTGCTACTGGAACTGGGCTTTCTAGGGACTGTTCAGAGTAGGAGCATCCAGCAAGCTCCGCGTGGCAGTCCCTAGGTGCCCAAGAAATCAACTCAATTCTGACACTATCTACCTACAGGGCCTCAGACGCCACAGGTGACGGGTTCAGTCCTACACGGCTACCCCACCCCCATTTCAGACACCAGTTGCAAGCCCAGGTAACCAGAGTCATGTTACAGAGGGTCTCAAAGACCAACAGGCGACAGACTGGAGTTTCCAATGACTCCCCCCCGGCACTCAAAATGCTAAATGCAAATCCAGGTTGTTCCCTGTGCTTCTGACTGGCTGTCAATCCGAGGTTCCCACAGCCCCCTCCTTGGGTTCAGTTAATTTGCTAGAATGGCTCTCACAGAGCCCAGAGAAACCCATGCGCAGTAAGGATCATGACCCCAAACCAGGCAGCAGTGCCACCCAGGTTCTCTAGCAGCATCTTCTGAGCACCTGCCAGCACCTCACCTGAAGAGAGTGGTGAGAAGCTCAGACACAAACTTCATGGACAAAAAGCTATGGTTTGCTCTGTGGGCCGTTTTAGTTTTGCCTTTGCCAGCTTTTTCGTTGAGGATGTCAGAGAGCTTCTTGTAACACGTAAATAAGCTCAGGACGTCCTCAAACTTGTTCTTACTGTGGGAAAAGAGAGACCACCGAGGACAAGCGTCAGAGATTGTGGTTTCCTGTCGCATGAGGTCATAGGAAACACCACGGTGCTTTAGATGCCATATTTCAGACACAGCGCTAGACACCACGAACCCTCACCACCACGAGCTCCCAGGCACGCCCTTCTGCCTGCGTTACTCTCTCCCGCTGACAGACCAGGCAACACAGAGCGTGCAAGTCCAATACCACCACCCACCAAAAGCAGGAGCTCTCGAGCTCAGGGCCTGGGAGTTCTAAGCAAACGCGAGCCTGCTGGAGGCGCAACACTCGCCAGCCTGTCCAGCAGAGGCTCTGGTGCTCTCTGGTCCAAAGAGCAGTGCCTGGTCTTAGGCCAGGTTCTATTTAAGACAGTGTCGTGGCCTGTGGTCTGTTCAGTACCTTGCATATCATTAAGTGCTAAAAACAAAAACCAAAACCCCCAAGCCCCTCTGCCCATAAAAGGGAGCATTAGGCAACTGAATTAGCGTCATAACAACACCTTACCTGAAATTACTGGTGGAGAAATTATATTCTATCAGAACCTCACAAACTCCCATCACAAGAGAGGCACAGATGTTATTTTTGATGCCGACGCCAGTGCTCTGAGAAAAATCTGCTGATTTATCCTAAAAGACACAAGATAAGAACTAACAAGCTACCAAAAACCTTCATCAGGCCTGGCTGGCGTGGCCCAGGTGGTTCGAGCGTCCTCCCAAGTGCACCAAAAGGTGGCGGTTTGATCCCCGGTCGGGGTGCGTACAGGGAGGCAACCAATCCATGTTTCTCCCTCTGTCTCCCTTCTTCTCTAAGGTCAATGTAAGAAACAAACGGCGTGACTGAGGCTCAGCCATTACCAGCTCAAAGTCCTCCAGCTCCGTCTTGATCATTCTGCGCGTGAGGGACTCCAGCATGTCATCCATCTCCTGGTAGAACCCGTCCTCAGGCTCCTCCTCTCCCTGCTGGCCGGGCAGCACCTTGCTCTTATACCAGGCCAAGCAGTGCTGCATGCAGCACAGCAGGTGGTCCTGAGAAGCAAACAGCAGTTATATTCCAGAGTGCTCGGGGCTAAGCCGCTAATCAACAAGTGACTCCAGTCTCAAAGGCTGAGGTCATCTGAATGAACAGCACCGGCAGGACTGAGGGAACAGAGGCAGGTTTTCTGACCTTCCCCAGAGGAACTGGGTTCCTGAGTAGCTGACACCTCGGAAAGCAACGTCCGATGCGCTCCCTCTGACCCAGTACAAACTCCAGCACCATGGGGCCCGGCTGGGCAGTGAGGCCCCCTCGAGATCCCCTGAGTCCCAGAGGCTGTGCTGAAGATGGGGGCTTGTGCTGAAGGGGTCTCTGGGGGGCCAGCACAGCATCTCCCGGGCTAAGGGCGTCGCATGGCCGAGAAGGTCCATGCTTGAGGGCAGACTACAACTCCGTGACCACAAGTCCTACATCACCTGGGGCGGTGGAGCTCCAGTTTTACCGTCTCTTCCTGTCTTTCTGAGGCTGGAAAGCAGGAACAGAGCACCAGCCTGTCCCAGTTCCTCAAAAAGGCCCACAGAGCACCAGTTCTGGCTCAGCCTAAATCACACGCTCCCTCCAGACTAACAAAGCAGGCCCCCTGGGCCACCGCAGCTGGCTGCCTCCCTCCCCCACTCTGAGGCAGTGTGCTCAGCACTACAGATAAAGAGCCTCGGAGGGGAGACACGGTGCTCCTGGGGGAAGTGGCAGAGGCTGACACGGAGCTGTCTTCCCATCAGACACGGGTGATGAAGGGTCGGAAAAGAAAAGCAGGGAGGATTTCAGATAACTCGACGGGAGTAGGGGAGAGAGCTTCACGGGGAACGGTGTCCCCTTCTAGAGATCAACTCTACCGACAGGGTTGGTGATTTAACTTAACAGCAGAAACAATGGGCACGGGAGGGATGAAAGTCTCACCAGGGGTTCTTGTAGAGAGAGCTGATCTCCTTGGGTCAAAATACAGGCTTCGAACTTCAGAGGAGGCAGCACGTCAGGCTGTGGCTCATAGAACTGCTTCAGCTACAGGCGGTAAGGAAAGAAGACAGCGGCTTGTCACTGCCGCTCACAGTTTTAACTGGTCAAGCTAACGGCACTTTTAAGGGATGACACCTTCTAAGATATTCCTAACGTCCAAAGATGAAAGCAGCAATGTTGGCAGAGCTTTTGCTCTGCCCTCGCTTTGGGCACCGTGCTGAGATCTTTCCTATTCTGCCTGTGACCTCTCCTCCCACACCCCTCCCACGTCCTGACCGCCCCGGCACTCAGCGCCTCCAGTACAGCTTGACGAGGCTCCAGAGTCGGACGGCGGAGGGGAAATCATTCAGGATGGCAAAGCTGAATCCACAGGAATAAATGAGGGGGGTGGGCAACGGTAAAAAGCTGGTACACACGAAGAACTGTGTGTGTCCGCGTCTGTACACTGTATTTTTTCTTCTCTTAATTAGTATAAAAGACGAACATGTAAATGTCTAAAGCACAAATCGTAACACTGTTTGCTGGGACTTTAACGTAGATAAGTACTCTTATTACTATCAGTGTCTTGAGTTCTTGGTTACTGTCATTTTTTCCCTTTTTGTTGAAGTTGTTGGGAGGGAGACACTGGTTAACAGAGTCATACCGGTTCCCGGTGCACAGCTCTGCAGCGCATCCTCTGCACGCTGCACTGTGTTCACCACCCCCCTGAACTCTCTTAATATTATTAAAAGATCCAAATGCCATGAATATTTTTTCACCTGGGACAGCAGAGTGTGCATGACAGAATCAGCCAGCTGCGAGTTTCTTCGGAGGACATCGTAGAACCCCTAAGAGGAATCGGAGAAATAAACTCTCCAACATACACCAGTGATGTGGACAGTCACAACTTCAAAGTAACTTTCTCTACCCTCCTCTCAGTTCTTTGAAAAAGATGAACATATTATTTGCCAGAGAAGCAATTCAAAGTTTAGGTTATTGACTAAGCTGTACCCCAATAAACTCGATAATAAATAATAAAAAACATTGGGGGGGAAAAAGACTAGTTGGGAGACCCCCGTGTTCCTCCCACTCTGCTGACTGACCTCATAGAGCATGAGTCGCACATCGGCCTGCTGGCCTAAGCACCTTCGCAGGCTGTCTATGATCTCGAGGCAAAAAGCTTCGTTGGCCACAGAATTGTAGCGACTGTGGACGTCCACGTGGACCTGGAAGAGACGCAGGGTCTATCCTACCAAACCAGCTTCCATTAAGGAGACTCAGACTTGGCTTTCCCCACACGCCAGAACCCAGGGCTGAGGCCGACTTTATAACCACCACCAGGCTACGCAGGTCGCTCTCACTCTGCTTTGGAACAGAGAATTCTCAAGCATCTTAACAAAATGAACTCTTTCCCAGCCCCTGAGGTTTTTCTTGGCGACATCACCTGCTTGGGAAGGCAGATTGCATGCCACTAGAACTGAATAATTCATAATATACCTGCTGATTTTACTTAAAAGGCCTAAGACTTCCTTCAATGTCTTCAGTAGCTAGAAGAACCTAGTTCTTCCTGATTCCACAAGGTCCTGAGAGGGTAAGAGGCAGGTAGTTTCTAGTTTAGAAATGCACGTGACAATAACACCCCTTGTCTGATTTACACAATGAATTCAGCAATTATAGAGACAATCCCCAGTCCTTACACCAGGCCTTTCCACAAGGTAGTTAATACTGACTGACTGACTGAGGTCAAATTCCAGCTCCACCTTTTCCAGGTTCTATCACCTCGGGCAAGTTATTTCCCTTCTCTCTGCCTCCGTTTTCTTATCCTTAAAACAGGGATGACGTCATTACACCAGTGATTCCCAGTGCTCCTAATATTAGCCTACGCCATACGTTACAGACAACAGCTCTGCGTAGTCAGTTACACTAGAGCAAGGATTCCTAGTGGAACTATTAATGCCTGTTGTGCATGAGTCATACAGCATATAATTTAAATTATACCGGGCTTACTGGGTGCTCGTGTGCCGGGTAAATAAGCTATCAAAGATGGAGGTGACAAATGTGTTCAGCCTCTGAGAACTACTGTGAAGAAAGGAAATAATGAGTGTAAAGCACCTGACATGGTGTCTAGCACAACAAACCACAAGTGCAACACACGTACACAACTTAAAATTTCCTAGTAACCCCATTTAAACAGAAACTGATTAAATGAATTTTAATTTTTTACTTAACCCAACATATCCAAAATATCATCTCCTCATGTGATCAAAATAAGAAATTAATGCGACACTGTGCACTCTTCAGTCTCACGCTGTCTTTAAAACCCAGGGCACCATCACGCGCACGGCACAGCTGCATCCGACTGGCCGCATCTCAGCGGCCACACCGAGGCCGGTGCGCGGACAGCAGGTCTGCCACCAGCGGGTGTTACCTGATGCGGCCACCACCACGACCCGGACTGTCTCAGGGCCGTTTGCACAACCAGGACAGGAGCACGTCACCCGCTCCCAGCCGTGCACAGCGAGCGAGCCGGGCTGACCGCCTTACCTGGCTGACGCCGATGGCCTGGCTGCACTGGGAGGACGACAGGCTGCCTAACACTCTGAAGTTTTTCAGGAGCAGCAGAAACCCGGCCACTGCCGACTTCCGGGCGTCAAGCTGTCTAGCTCCCAACGGACAGAGAAGCAATGAACAGTATTAATTTCACGGGAACAGACTTCTGGGTCAAAAAAAAGCCAGTTATTTTTGTACAGAGAAGGAATATGTATCAACAGTGAAACATGGAGCAAAATAAATTGAATTTATGGACTTAAATTAGGAAGCAGCTGTTCACAGTACTAGCAGTGCAGGACCTCAGCTGACGTTTTCATGACCTACTTAACCCCCTGACATTCTCTCTACTTTCTTCTATCCTGACAAGTCGACGTGGGGAATGAGAACAAGTGCCCAGAAACTCCAATGCACGTGCTGAATGGAGGACATTGCCGACTCTGCGCCCAAGGGAGCCGTCTCCTCCACAGGGTGCACGCCTGGTGCCTTCTAGAGCCCCAGCCAGGAAAACAATGCAGTTGCCTCACTGAGGCCCCGTGATTAGCTCACGCTACAGATGCTACAGCGTCCAGCCCCGGCCTGTCAGGCACGGGCCACACAAAATTATCAACTTAAAAACTAGCCTGCTATATTTGGTCAAATATTGTACTGAATTTCGAGTCCTGCCTGTGGCTGCCTTGGCAGGCCCCGACCAAATGACAGGAAACAGGTTGCCCGCCCGTCCGAGCGCCTCCCGGGCCCACGCACCTGGCAAACATGGCTTTCCGCAGGACGACGATCAGCGAGTCCCTCATGGACATGCTCACTTTGAGGAGGGGCTGGAAGAGGAAGGGGCACCGGTAAAACCAGAACAAGCCTCGTTATCGGCCTCGGCTCCTCTCTGCCCAACACTGTGGCCGCCTGGCTCTTCTAAGGCACGTTGGTTCTGCTTTACACGTTTCCCCGGGTGTCTACTTGGTAATAAGGACACTGGGGCTGGCTGAGGGTGCCGTTAACTCTACCGTCCTCAATCAGCAACCCTCGGAGAGCCTTCCGATTCCTTCACTAACGTGAAAGTCAGTCAGAGGACAGAGCAGCGCCGTGAGGACGGGGAAAACCGTGTCTAGGGCTTGGGGCTCCCACCCTTTCAACACAAAGGTTAATGTTTCAGAACCAAGAGCAAGAAACGGGATTTCTTAGACACAGATGCTCATGGAGAAACACACCAGCCCCCGCTCCGCAGGACACCCACCTGCACCGCCTTCAGGAGCCCGTCCACGGTCGCAAGGGGCAGCAAGGACAGGTAGTCAAAGCTTCCTGTGATTTTAGAAGAACAGCCCTGAAGGACTAAGGGCGAATACGTGACGATGCTGGAGAGCAGCTCTGGAGAACAGAAATCGATCATCAGTTGTCTCAAATAACCAAAGATCTTCCAAACAAATGGAAATTAAAACGGGAAAGGAACGGTAAGAGGTCCGTTTCCTTTCTCAGGTCGGATGTACTGCACTATGAATGTCTACTGATCTTAGGCATCTTTCTACGGTCACTGTAACCGCGACACTTTGACTTTCTCCTGTCCACGCAAGGAGCACACGGTGTCTTCACCTTTCCAGGCTAACGCGATAAACACTCGGGAACTGTGGTGTGTGTGCATCTGTACTGCAGTCCCATAAGGAACACACAAAAGCGTAAAACAGTCTCTCTCCCTTCTAGGGTTTTAATTTAGTTGGAAATCAGTTGTATTTTATAAGAATGAAAGAGGTAGATAAACTGTAAATAAAGGAGCTCACACAGGAGCTCAGTATGAGTCGGCAAAGCAGAGAGGAGCTGGTGGCTCAGCTGGGCTCTGATGGGCCCCAGGGAGCTGCACCGAGAGCAGCAAGGCCTGCCCCACGTTCGGGAAGCGCAGGAAAGGCACGGGGATAGAAAGTGGATGGTGGGGACACCCGTGCAGTTGGGGTGAAGGCTCGGAATAAATAAATAATGGACACTAACGTAGGATCCAACAGTCAAGGGCCTTAAGCGCAGGATCAGGAGCTGACTAGCTACTGCTGGAGGAGCTAGTGACTCTCTCCGGTGATGGGTGGTGCTGGCTGCAGGAATGCTCATCTGGGGGCAACAGGCAGGCGGAGCTGCTGCGGGGAGGAGAGGGAGCGGGGAACCGGCCAGGAAGCTGGGGCAGAGCACTAAGAGCAAGGCCACAGACGGGAACTGGCCTCGGGTGTGTGGGGGCAGGCGAAAGAAGGAGGGAGAAGTAACAGTAAGAGGGAAAGCGTGGGAAGACTTAGGTGCCAAGCGTATCTGAGCAGATAAAAGGGAATTCCAGCCTCTGGGACCTGCAGAGCCAGGCCTCCGACAACAGAAACAGTGGCGATAAAGGGGGAATTTGTTTGAAGGGAGCTGTCGTGCATTTGAGATACGAGGAGAAACAAATACTAAGCGGAAACACCCAGCAGGAATGAAAGGACGGAACTAAGGGAAGAGGGGGGTCTAGGCGTGAAGATGTGGAGCCGCGCCCACGAAAATAACTGAAATCGTGAAACAGATCTGACATGCCGAAGAAAGAACTTAGGAACGGACTTATAGTCGCCTGACGTCATAATCAAAGATATTGGATTAAATACTCAGAAACCTAAGCATATACGTTTTTTTTTTTTTACAGGCAAAAGGAAAGAAACCATTATTTGTACAGTTGATCCTAGAAAATATATGGAGTTTGTAAGATGCTGTCTTTTAAATGCTGTCCTTTAAAGGTTAAACTATTGTACCGTTAGGTTCCCCCCCCATGAACAAAACGTTGTGACACTTAAGTGAAAATATCCCTGAGAACTTGAACGGCCCTCTGGAAGTCCGATACCTAGGAAATGGCTGATGGGAGAGGATGCTCTGGTGACAACCCTGTTGAGGACTTGCTCCAGGATTTCTTGTCTGACCATCTCATGGATCTAAAAAGAAAAGCAGCATCGGTAAAACAGTCCTCGGCGACAGTCAGCATGCCACTGCGCCAAGGCCTGCGAGGCAGGACAGAGAACGGTCTGGACATGGGAAAAAGCTGAATCGCTAGCAAAGCAAAGCTGCTTTGCCTCAGACAGGATCCAGCTTTCTTTATTATCATTTTTTTTTTACTTAAAAAGAAACGTATTTTTCAAAGGTGCTTCAGAAATTAAGGCTGAGATGACAGTCATGATATGGTAATGAATTTAAAAAAGGCAAGCTCCCCATTTTGGGTTCTTCAAAAACAACAAGGCAGTAAAGCAGGATTCTACAGCGACGTAAAAGATCATTGTTTTGTATAAAGAAATAGCATTAAAAAAACAAAACAGAAACAGAACTGACTTACTGCTGGAGAAGAGGAGACCATGGGAAAGCTAACTTACGTCGCTTCCACTCACACAAATCAAAGACAAGGGAGTAACTGTTCCATTAGGCTGGAGCTGTGATGTTTCAATTACCGCCCCAATCTCTGTTCCCGGAGCGCGGGTTTCCTTGTCTTCCAAACTCCAGGCGAGCACCATGCCTTACTCACACGGCCACTTAATAAAATTAGGAAATGGCTGTGAAACTGGAGTCTCACCTTGAAAGTTTCCAACAGGATATCGGCTCCCAGCTTGCACGCGTGCTGGCTTGGTGTCCGAGAGAGATCGGGGCTGGTTTCAACAGCTCTCCCATCAACCATCTTCTTGGGCCCATACGAATCCATTAAAATGAAACCAAATTCGACCAGGCCCTGAGTCACATGATCCCAGCTATGAACGCTGCGAGGAAACAGGGCTTCGTGAAGAAGGAAAGCTTAGCGAAGGCCTCACCCTCAGCTTCGCTGCAGCGTTAGAAGTTCCCAAGCCTGACCTGGACAAGCGCAGCCTTCCCCCGACCCTCTCCTCACGCATCCGGAGGGTGCCCAGCGCCCTGCTCTACTCACAGGAACATACGCTGTGTGACCGTCAGCGGTTTCCTCGCTGGGCCTCGGGATGGCCCCCACTGCCCTCTCTCACGACGGTTCATGAACTCACCTGTTTTTCACCACCTCCAGGGTCATGGCTGAAACGCAAGACGGATGAGGGACCAGATTCTGAAGAAATTTTGAGGCCTGGAGAAGCTGAAGATCCTTGAAGCTTTTAAAAACCAAAGCCTTTAAAAGGTCAAACACCTAATACATAACGAAAGCAATGGGGAAATGAATTGAGAGCGACACCCCACGCCAGAGGGTTTTAATCCTGCAACGGTTCCCACTTGCTGCTGGACTCTCACGGCCCCAGGACACCTGTTTCGCTAGATGAGTGAAGATATGAAATTATGACTTTCAGTCATATTTCCCAATAGTAGAGAACACGTGAGAAAAATCTGCAAAGGATTTCTATCTTTCCATCCTGGAAACTAACCTACTCCCATTAATTCCAGCTTGATCAGGGACAACTTCTGGGAAAGCTACCGCATAACGGGACGGCTGGCGAACGCCCACCTAGGTTCCCATCCTTGCTGCCTGCACCGTGTGATGTTCCCATTACTTTGCATTTCACCACCAGGCTCACCTGGAGAAGCCTCCCAGCAACCCCAGACAACCGTGCGGACCTACGTGTCTTACAGAGGGATTTGCTGCTGGCAGGACAGCGGTGGGATTGTGTAAGGATTAAAAAAAAAGGGGGGGGGGCTCTTGAAATCCTTATCAACTACAGGAGGAACAGAAAAGTCATCAATAAATACCTGTTCCTCAAACCTTTGTATTCTTGCTACAGAGAGCAGGAGGGCAATGCTGAAGGGACATACATCGTTGCTGAAATCTTGCAGTCCTATCTGGAACAGAGGAACAAAACAGGAGTCGTTACTTACATCTTAAAAGCATGACACAGCCCCACTTAACGTTAAGGTCCTTAAATACATCAGGAGCCTCTACGCCAGGGACAGAACTAGAAAACTTCTGGAAGAAAGCAGAGCAGCACATCTTCAAGACCTTGGGTGAGACAAAGACTTTCTTAGACATGGCACCAAAAGCAGAATTTGTGTAGGACAAAAATGGATAAATTGGATATTACCGAAATTCAAAACTTTTTTGTGCTTCAAAGAAGACCTCTAAGAAAATTAAAAGACGCACGACGGACTGGGGGAAATAGTTGCTAAACATATATACGTATGTGTTCAAACAGCCCTGCTTCCCAGAGACCCCAGGCCACCTCGAGAGTGTGGGGCTACCTTCAAGAGCTTCAGCAGTTCTCTGCCTAGCTCGCAGTCCAAGGTCATGGCGAACACGATGTGCAGGATGACAGTGCCTTCCACATGGCGAAGTTCACTGGACGGCACAGTGATAAGGTCCAGGAGCCTGAGGAGTCGACAGAAGCGTGTGAACAAGAGACAGCAGTGCAGGCGCTCGGACGAAGCCGCCGAGGAGCCAGGCGGGACTCACGGTCGGGGGAGGAAGGCGGGAAGTGCAGACTCCACCGCCCCACTCTCTGCTCCCTTTTACACAAACCCCCCCAATGAAGTTTCTGTAGTCATTATTCCCACTCCTTTCCCTCTTCCCAGTTAAATGTAATTCAATTAGGCTTCTGTCCCCTCCCACTGGCTAAGTACCACTGCTGAGAGGGTTACAACGATCTCTATGTTGCCAAAGCCAATAACCAAGTCCCACATTAAAGCCACAGCTCAACACGTCCATGTGGGGCGCCGATATACCCCTCAAACTCAACACGGTCTCAGCTGAGCTCATTTCCCCCCTAAACCTCCTTTTCTGCCAGTCCTTCCTAAGTACACAAGATCACCTTCCCATCAGCTGCTCAGCCACGTGACTANAGGAGCCAGGCAGGGGTCGCGGGAGGAAGGCGGGAAGTGCAGACTCCACCGCCCCACTCTCTGCTCCCTTTTACACAAACCCCCCCAATGAAGTTTCTGTAGTCATTATTCCNCGGAGCCAGGCGGGACTCACGGTCGGGGGAGGAAGGCGGGAAGTGCAGACTCCACCGCCCCACTCTCTGCTCCCTTTTACACAAACCCCCCCAATGAAGTTTCTGTAGTCATTATTCCCACTCCTTTCCCTCTTCCCAGTTAAATGTAATTCAATTAGGCTTCTGTCCCCTCCCACTGGCTAAGTACCACTGCTGAGAGGGTTACAACGATCTCTATGTTGCCAAAGCCAATAACCAAGTCCCACATTAAAGCCACAGCTCAACACGTCCATGTGGGGCGCCGATATACCCCTCAAACTCAACACGGTCTCAGCTGAGCTCATTTCCCCCCTAAACCTCCTTTTCTGCCAGTCCTTCCTAAGTACACAAGATCACCTTCCCATCAGCTGCTCAGCCACGTGACTAAAAGTTACTCTAGAGCAAAAGCAGTAAGCTGCAACAGGGTCAGGGTGTGAATTCTGCGCGGCCGGCGTGGCTCAGCGGTTGAGCCTTGACCTAGGATCCAGGAGATGGCGATTAGATTCCCGGTCAGGGCACATGCCTGGGTTGTGGGCTCGATCCCCAGTGCAGGAGGCAGCTGACCAACGACTCTCTCATGATTGATGTTTCTCTCTTTCCCCCCGCTCTCCCTTCCTCTCTCTGAAATCAGCAGAAAATTTTTAAAAATGTAAGTGTACTTTCCCATTGGGGGTGGGGGTGCTGTTTAAAAAAGTAAGTGTGAATTCTGCAGTCAAACTGCCTGGATTCAAAACCCAGCCCCACCAGGCAATGGCTCCATAATCTTGGGAAACTCCTTAATTTCTCGGTGCCTTTGTTTCCACAGCCAAAAAATAGAGACAAAGTAAGGTTATTGTGAGGTTTAAAGTTCTTGTAAGTTCTTAAAACATCACATGGCACAGATAAGCACTTCCAAATATATGCTGTAAAAAAAAAAATTCTCATTTTCAGACGCGCCAGGCTGTCTCCATCGTAACGCCTTTGCACGAACCGTCACACTAACTTAAAATGTCCCTCCCCCTGAGCGACAGGTTGCAGGCTCTCCTGCAGGCCGCACGCCTTCTCAGACTGGTCCCTGGGCACCCGGTGCACAGCAGCTACACTGCCACTGTTCTCGTCACCCACCCGGATCATCTGCGCAGCACTTTTCACTCCAACATTTTTCGTGTCCGTGTTCTGTTCTCTTCTCACTTAAGCTCCAGGAAAGCAGGGAGGGACCTGGCCCGACTGCCTGGCTCATCGCTGACCCAGGGCCAAACGGTCCCCAGCACCGAGCAGACACTCAGTAACAAACAGCCTCTAGACTTACAGCTTAGGGAACAATTTTTGCTACTTTCCCAGAACCGTGCAAACCGACGAGCTCAGGAGGACTCACTGTTCTTTTAACCTCATGGCTAAGCAGCTGGGGGAGGGTTAGGGAAGCTCTGTGCTCTGAGGTGAAGGCAGGGGCCGGAGGGCCAGCAGCCCAAGTACAGGGCGAGGGGAAAGCGACCTCTTTCCTGCTCGATACTCACTCGTCGCCGCTCTGCTCTTCCTTGTGCTGCTTGTCGAGCTCCCTGAAGAAAGCTACGACTCCTTCCAAAACGCACCTTCTGCTTCCCTGAAAAAGCACAGAAACGGGTAAGGCCTCCCCTCGGCGGGCAAGATCAGCAAGTGGAACTTCTCAGCTTAGAGGCTGCTCAAGTATGAATTTAAACAGACAAATTATAACCTCGAGTCACAAGGAGAACATACGGAACACTTTCGTGTTAAAATTGGGTTTAAAATACATCGTAATGCCAGACTTCTAGGGGCCTATAGCCCACCTTTTCTGAGATCTTGACTCCTTTTACTGCCACACACAAAACACGTGGTGGCACAGAGACGAACTGTTTTCCTTGACTTTTTTACTAGATCAAATCATCAAACTCGAAACAAAAGCAACCACGCCCTAGTATGTATATCAAGAGTGTAAACAAGCTGAATGGCCCTAACTGGTCATTATTTTGCTAGAGTTAAAAAACACACCAGATGTCCTTTATACCTTGGAGGAGAGAACCAGAAGCTGATAGACCAAAGGCGGTATTTCTTGAAGGTTCAGCTTGGAGAACATCTTGAGCACTTTCTCCGTCACAGACTCCACCTCGTCTGCAGTCAGAGGCACATCCCTGTGGGATCAGAGAGTCTCAAGGCCACAGCACAGTTACGCCGCAGCCTAACTCGGGAGATGTTAGGATATTACATCTGCCCCTGTTGAATTTTCTCAAACAGAGCGCCTTAAGCAAAGTCATCTTGGAAGAAAAATCACAAGATTATGCTTTAAGTAAGCAATTAAAGCAAAAGAGGGGGTGGGGGGACATCCTGTAACAGAAAACAGAGGTCCCAACACTCTCCCTGGGGAGGGGGAATGGCGATGCTTACTTGAACATGGACGTGAGCTGAATCACATAGCGCCGATCCCACCTGGTCAGAGACAATGACAAGAATATGCGAGTTCATCTCATTTTAACTTACGTACCTATTTCTTTACAAAACTGGGGCCATCCCAAGGGATGTGAATTCCTAAAAACAATGGGAATTCTCTCTGGCACTTGCAGTCCTGAGGAAGTTCTACACGTTAGTGGGAAAGACTCACCTGCCAGAGCAGAGGGTGTTAATCAGCTGTTTCTTATGGTCTTCCCCGCTCAGCTCCTCTAGAAACGCAAACGCACTGAGAAATAAATCTGATTACGTGAAGAGAGGGAAAAGCCACTAAGACTAGCAAATTACCTTTTCCAGAAGGCACGTTTCCCTTTTTGGTGACAAGGGCACTAAGAATGATGGGAAGTAACTCCAAAGATTTTCCATTCAGGAGGCTGCCCTCTTTGATTGCACCAATAAACTCATTGGCTAATTCAACCAACAATGGTCCTGGAAAACTGTGGGCCTAAAAGTTCATGGGATAAAGAAAGCATTAAGCAGAAATCTAAATGTGTGCTCTCTCTTCCCAAGAAATAGAGCCTTCTGCTGAATTAATAGAACTGGCAATGAAACCATAACTGGCCCTATAAGGAACTCGGAGCGTCATTCTACTCTGGCACAAACTTAGAAAGGGTTTCAAAGATCGGAACCCTCCTCTGGTTCCCTGCTGTTTTCAAATATGCCAGCTCTTCAAAGAGATACATGTCCCTGACACCAGAAACATAATGGAAACATCTGCTTATGGCCCATCCATCAGCCATTTGTCTTTTAACAGCTCCCATTCATAAACGGGAGCTATGTGGTTTGGCAAATCTATTTTCCCTTCCTCAACAAATTACAAACCCCCCCACAAAATCTATCCAAAACCAAAAGCAGTTTTGTTTCCCAGCTCACCTCCAGCATTAGCAAGCCTATGATCTCAGATGCTATTTCCTTCTGCAAATCCCCGGATTCCACCAACTGGATACAACAAGTATATGTCTTACGTCTCCTAAGAGCTCCAGCTTCCTCAGAGCAGGGGGAACCTTATTGTTTTAAAAAGGTGTATAGAAACAAAAAGACAAAAGGGAAAAAAAGTCTTACAAGGCTGAAGAGTAAATAAAAAAAAATACAGCTTTGTAGTTTAACATAGAAACACAACACAATATACAGATGACGTATTGTAGAACGGTATACCTGAAACATGTAATTTTATTAACCAATGTCACCCCAATAAATTCAATTAAAAAAAGATTTTTAAAAATTAAAAAAGCATAAAAAACACAAGTAAACCAAAGCTGATTTTATGAAATGCATCCTTTACAGGCCCCCAAACCAGCAATACCATCTCAGGCAGCCACCTCAACCCCCTTCAGCAAAATTATTCAAGTCCACAAGACAAGAGAGACTGCAGCTTTAGCTGATTCTGGAAAATCTCCCAAACACAGCGCAGTCTCAGTGGGGCTGCAGACAGTAAGGAAAATAACAGTATGTGCCAAAGGTAAACACGTCTAGCAACGAACCAAGGGAGACAGAAGTAGCGTTAACTACTGTTACCTTTGAAGATGGCTCTCAGGAGGGCTCCAACCGCTTTTCCTTTCACCGCCTGGTTCTGAAGGAGGTTCGCCAGCTGCGAGTGAAGATTGAAGAAAGAAAAGAACACAGGTCTCTGGCAACGATTTCTTTACCCCAATGACCTAATCTCCCAATGTGCAAAATACTCATCTCTCAGGTTCATATCCCTCAGAAACTCTAGTGATTAGAAAAAAAGAAATTTGTAAAGGCTGAAGGCTGAGATAGACAGTAATTGAGGAAAGGGCGACGATTTCAGCTTGAGTGGGTTCATCTTAAGGAGGGATTCCTCTCTATGCAGAGATTGGGATAAGCAGAGACCAATTATTACACAAAAGGTAGATCAGGAGGGTAAGGAAATGAGGACCAATGAACAATAAAGTAAATACTGTCCCATTTGAGTCATATACTTACAATGAAAACATGGTGGTATTCTCTTACTAATAATTTCAAAATCTTTTACTGCTTATGAATTTATCTTTAGGGAAATATAGGAAGGAAAGAAAGGACACCAATAGGCAAATCTAATGGCTCAATAACTATAGTCGGGGTGTTATCTTCTAGTAGGATTGTTCTAAGAACCATAAAAGTACACTAACTCGCTCATATACCTACAGTTGCATAAATATAATTTGAATGTTATATAGTTGTATAAATGTACACAAATGCCCTTCAGAGTTCCGTTTCTCCTCATTTCTTTACATCTATGAGCTGTTATCACATAAATCGTTGTCTCCTAAGGAGAGTGGTGAGTAGATAAAGTGGCGGATAACTGGTCTAACATGTCTTATGAATCTGTCCTCAGGCTTGACACGTGCTTTCAGCAGAAGGTTGATTCCCAGTACTCACGTCATCTCCCTTCAGGGTCTGAAGAAATTCCTGCAGTCCGTCTGCTGTCTTTTCTGCTGCTAGAGACAGGATTTTCTGGTCCATCGTTGCACATATCAGGACACTGAAAGGCAAAAATGCCAGAGCTGATGAAACTTCCAGAAGCAAGATTTTTTTGGTGTTTTTCCTTCCCTACCTGTTAGAACTGAGTATTTCACAGATATTATGGACAACGTACACAGCGGGCATTCAACAGGTTAAGGACCACTAACTAGTATGAGTAGGTAATTCTACTCATTCCCTGGAAGTTCCGTATTAGAAACTTTTTATTCTGATCAAGTGGATTCGTAATTCTGCCCGCATTTTTATCAGAACACTGTCTAGAACAAAGCAGTCATAGAACAGCGTGTGAAATACGTAATAAACTGTTATAAACACGTAGACAAGAATACGTCTCGTTATAGGATAAAGTCATATTGCGTAAGAGCATAAACAAACAGCACTGTAAGTGCAAGAGCCAACTTTCGAAATGGTATGAAAACAAAGGAGACATTAACAGGGCTACAGAAATACAAGTGTTCAAATCTTCCCAGCAGCCCAGCCTCCGGTGGCTCGGTGGTTGCGCCTGGATCCAAGAACCAGGAGGTCGCCTAGTTCAGGGCACATGCCCGGGCTTGCAGGCTCGATCGCCAGTAGGGGACTTGCAGGAAGCAGCCCACGGATGTTTTGTCTCTCTCTCTCCCCCTCTCTAAAATCAATGAAAGAACATATTTTAAAAAACCCATACAGTCCAACCAGGCATGGCTCAGCGGTTGAGCATCGACCTAGGATCCAGGTGATCAGGGTTCGATTCCCGGTCAGGGCACATGCCCGGGGTTGCGAGCTCGATGCCCGGTGCAGGAGGCAGCTGATCCATGACTCTCTCACCATTGATGTTTCTCTTTCTCTCTCTCTCTCTCTCTCTCTCTCTCTCTCTCCCCCCTCCTCTCCCTTTCCTCTCTCTGCAATCAATAAAGACATGTATTAAAAAATAAAGAAGCAAAAAATAAAATTAAAATTAAAAAAACAACAGACAAGCAAGTCTTCCCAGCAGAGGGAAGCTGCACATGGAACTCAGAGGCTGGCTTTAGAGAGTCGAGGTCGGCAGATGATGCTGTTTCCATGACTGGGAAGGAGAGCACCACCCGCCAAGGCATCCAGGCCGGGAGGGCGGCCGCGGGCAGCGGAGCCTGGGAGGCCGGGCTGGGGGTAAACTGGGCAAAGCCTGAAACGCCAGGCGAAGGAGCCTGGGTTTTATTCTGCAAATAACAGCGCGAGGCCAAAATCTGTGTAGCCCCAGAGCACGGGGCCAGGCTGAGACGTCGATTCAGGGGCCGGCGTCTGGCATCACT